GATCACATTGCGCATTTCAAAGATGTGTTATTCATTGTTGGCGTTATTAAATCAAAGGAACCATAGTCTTCTTCTGGTGGGTTGTGCTGGGTTTTAGCCGACTCGTTTGAAATCATTCACATATTTTTTGTCTTTTCCAACTAAACATTAGGGTTTCCAATTAGTGGCACTGTATTGGCCAATGAACTCAGAAAATATATGAAGTTTGAAAAGTTGGCCAGGCTTAATTATGCAGCCCCACCTGAGTGATATCGTATAGTTAGCTTAGTAAAACATGCCCTAACTTGCCATTCACTGCGTTTCAAAGGGAAAGATAGCACAAGCAGAACTCGAGACACCCGCACGGAAACGGGTGAAGGTGGTGTTTTTACTCTTCTTCGACACTGCCGCTCGCTTGACTGAGAGGATAAGGAGGACTAAATCACAATTGAAAGGTCACGGAGGGAACCGACGGAGTTTCACGCCGTCTGAACAATTCCATTAGAAAGTTTACCTGGCCAGAAACATGCGCAGGGAAGCGTGTGTGAGCTCATACCCGATTTAACCGAGACTGGCGTATAAGCACTCCTCCCACGTGGCACAATCACTCGCTAAATTAAAATTGTGGAAAGGTGCAGATACATGACTTTTGTAAGGTCAATGCACTCGCATCTACTAAAGTGTTTTTAAAAAGCCAACCATGTGTCATCACTTAGGTGGGGCTGCGGAACCAAACCTCTTTAAAAATATTCTCTGGCACGCAGATTACTAAAGCCGGGTAAAGGAACTGACATTAATGTAGCCGACGGACAGATGAGAATGTCATATAAGAGGGCAATCTATTTCACTTCAGCTATTTCTTTCTATTAATTTGAATTCTCATGGATTTGCCGATGCCATAAGTCCAATAACCTATTCCAGACCTGGAGGAGTTCTTTCAAAAACCGGATATGACTTGGTGCTAGGGTCAATACCTTCGTGAGGTGCTTGCGTTATTCGGGCTTCATTAACGTTTGCGCCTTCTGGCTTTCGCGTAACGGAAGCTCTGGAGGCCAATACACTCCACTATTCTCTAATGTAATCCTCGTTTTGATATGCAAATGAACACACATCATGCTCTTTTAAGACCTATTTTTACGTTTCAAACATTTATTTTGCTGATTTTGGCGGCAACATTAATCCTTTTTTGCAAAAATGGCCAAGCACTGATCACTGACATAATTGAGATAATGCGACTATCATGAGATTAATCCGTTTTTTGCAGATTTGTCTCTTCTAAAAAACGGTTGATGGAGAAAACGGATAAAAGACTGTTTAATTCATTTCTACTTCGGTTAATGCATGAGCCACGGTTCTGAAAGTCCCCTCTCTACTGTTATACTGGCCGACAATGGCCCGTGTGTGTTTGAGATCAGAACAACAATTCACAGGGAGTTGTGTCAGTTTAACGTTCAACTGATGTGCTTGAAGTCTGAAGTAACGAAAAAGTCAAACATATCAAAAGGAAAAAGAGTGTGAAAATTTAGACATAGGTATCAAACGATTTGACAGACGTTGGAAGTTACGTTCTTTAATTTCAGTTGTTTTAACTCATTTCCTGTGCAGAAGTAGACGCGACATGATCTAAGTTAATTTAACCTTCCGGGACTTCTTCCAAACGTATTAGTTCACATTTTGACCTTCATTGTCAAATAAACTCAGTCATCTCTTGACTTGCTCACATCCTTATATTTTTAGCATCAAATTTTTCTAGCACCCTCATGTTACTCTGCGTGTCTTGTCAAAAACCATGTGTGTTGTGAAACTATTGCTTAAAGGCTTATTCGCACTCCAGGGCGTGGAAAAGGGATTTCCGATCATAGGGTGTTTATTTTATTGTTTTCGGTTCCGCACTTAAATTAAGCATGCACACACAAAGTCTATGACCTTGGTTTCGTTCCAGGATATTTTCGCCAACTGATTAGTTTCACTTTCACAGAAACTCAGGATAAGTATCCCATAGTTACTTTGAGACTCTCAGAGCGAGTCGAACCTAAATACGCCATGTTCACGTTGGACGCAGTTCCAAAACTGAACAACTCAGTCAATAATCACTCTACGCTGATTGTTTGCCCCAGAGAGACTAAAGAGGCCAAACAATCGACTCGATGCTACAGTAGCATGAAAAAATGCTTTGAGTGGGGGTGACTGCATATATAATCTGAATCGAGTGGACGACACAAGGTAATTTCAAGCGGGACCTATGCATGAAAGATGCATTTTTTCGCGTTGCACTCTTTATAACCCGCTTATCGTTATAGTGTACAGTGAGTGACCGATCTCATGAAATGTTGACCGACATTGTGCAATGTGTTTTCGATTTTGATGGATTACTTAGGTGGGGTTGTAGTACTGATTATCATGCGGCATAATCCCGTAATATTTCGGTTTTGCCAGGATGTCGGCTTTTGATTGCGTTTCCTATCGATCCCCTGCAAGACCAAAACTCAGTAAAAATGACTACTTAATTAGCATGCATTTTTCGCACCGATTTTCGGTGGTCTTAAAAATTCAAATATATTTTATGGAAATCGTACACAAAAATATGCTTTCTTTTACTCCTTTGGTAACAAATCACATCAACTTTGCAGTTTATGTTTAAAGACAAAATATATTAACGTTTCAAAGAAGTTTTTAATTACACGAGTTTTAAGACCGTGCTATGTACATTCATGCAGCATCGTACCTGTCAGTTTACCATTCCTCCTCATAAAATATATAACATATTCACCACTCATTGCAAAATTTCATGAACTCTAAATCGCATCTTCCCAAAGTCATAGAGGAATAAATTATTTTCTTTACACGCAAAGCATGCGCCGTGTAGAATGAAATCGCTGAAAGCTAATACAACGACTGATTTGGCTTAAAATTATTCGGGAATTAGAAAACGGTTTTAAAACTTATATATACCCTATCTTCAAGGGTAAAATGTAAAGTCGACGTGATTTGCCAACAAAGGAGTAGAAGAAAGCATATTTTTGTGCATGTTTTCTGCAAAATATATTTAAATTTATAAGACCATCAAAATCAGTGCAAAATATGCATGCTTCATACGAAGTCATTTTTTGCCGAGTTAGGGTCTTGCAGGAGATCGAAAAGAAGTACATTCAAAAGGCGACATCATGGCAATTCCGAAATTTTACGGGATTCTGCCACATGATAATCCGTATTACAACCCCACCTAAGTAATCCTTCCAAATCTAAAACGCATTTCCGATTGTCGGTCAAAATTTCTTGAGAGCGGTCACTCAGTCAAATCAACGACTGGCTGGCCCCATTAAGTTAGAATAAACGTGCAGACCTCATAAATGGACTGTGATGTGTCTTAAGTGAGAAAGTTTAGCATGAAGTCTCACCGACGCAGGGGGCCTCCAAGTCCCCCGACCCAGATGATGGACTCAGCGATGTGTGGATGACGCTCTGACCAAGCCATGTAATGGTAGTTTGGCGGGGGAGGACTGGGTCTTAACGAAGTCCAACCCTACACCTCTGGAGGTCCAGCTTGGCATGCTCCAGAGGTTTCCGTGGTAATCAAAACAGCCGCTGCCGACTGAACAGTCCTCCCCACCGCCCACGCCATCGCTTTCGGTGCGGCGTAACTGTGTGACAGTTGCGGAAGGCAGTGGGAGCATCGGTTGGCGGGATGAATCGCAGGGGGAAGTTATTCTAACATTTTCTACTCTTCCACCCATTCTCCGTCCCCATAATGCACTTGCTACGCTGAAAAAAAGGAAGGCCAATGCCGGTTCATCACGTGCGTTTGTCGAACTTTGGAATGTCCGCACAAACACTGAAATAAGACAGCTGCATTTAAGGTGAAACGTGTAGACGGATTCCTTTTGGCCTTGCGGGAGAGAATTAGAGAAAGGGGTTGACATTCTCGTGCATCTAGACATTATACAGGTACGTATACATGTATAACCATAAAAGCCGATGTGAGGTGTGTCGATCGCGCTTTGAAACTCACTCGTTCCATTGTGTCATGTGGCTCTCTCTCAGAAGATGAAGATGCGATCACTGGAACAAGAAGTTTATTTGCCTGACGTTTCGGATTATCACTCGAATCCATCATCAGAGACATTCGCAGATAGAGGTGAAGGTGGCACCAGGAGTGCAGTATTTATAGCACGTGGCTGCCGTGGGACCGTATGCGCACTGCAATTAACCGTTCTCGCAATCGCCGCTGTGGTCGTAATTGATGCGGCGGTGGCTTGGCGGTCCGAGTCCGAGTCGTTAATTGCCGCGATTTCGTCATCCGTGCTCGATGCTGGTGTGACGATTGCTCGGCAAACTGGCTCACTGTCACCGTGATAATTGCTCACCCGCGCCCTCCCCACGTGACTGATTCACCTGCCCAGGGAAAATCGCAATACCGAATAGGGCACCGGGAGGTCGTTGTGTTTGTTGATGGATTGCGGGCCTGAGAACCATGACTCGAGCAGCTTGCGGCTCACGCGGTTATCTCACCTTGCATGGATTTCGGCCTCTTGAAATTTGAAAATATGACCGGGTCCCGTCGAGTGTGCCGCCACCTGAGAGTTAGCGTCTCCCCGCCTCACTGCTGCTGCGTGCTCGGCAATTCGCGTACGCAGTAATCTCCCAGTTTCGCCGACATAATTGCTTTGTCCGCAACTACACTAGATCCGGTAAACAACTCCAGACGTTTCCTGCCGTGGCAGGGGGTCTTTTGGCCTCATTACTTGGCGCCTAATGGTTGCTTCCGGCCTGTGTGCAACCCCAACTCCAAGTGGAGTGAGAAGACGACTGACGGCTTCCGAGACGTTCTTCACGTACGGAAGAGCCCGCCAAAATTTGGGGCTAGTTGGATTTGGTTTCTGGTGTCCTTTTCGTATGCACTGGTTGACAAAGTTGCGCGGGTAGCCACTGGCTCTCATTACCCGTCGAAGATATTGTAATTCAACAACCTTGTCTTCCATTTCACTGCAGTGCGTCTCAACACGCCGGTATAGCGTCCTTACTCAACTGCGTTTGTGACTGATCATGTGGTTGCTATTGAAGTTCAGTATTTGCGTCGTATTTGTCGCTTTCCTGAACACTTTGGTTTTTAGGCCACCACAATCTTTGCGGCAGACGAGGACATCCAGGAAGGCCAGCTGATTGTTTTCCCCCTCCTCCTCCTCCTCCTCCATCGTAAATTGAATGTCCGGGAAGACGGCGTTGCGTTGTTCTTTGAAAGTCAGCACCTGATCCCGTTCGATGTCGACGAAGATGTCATCCACATAGCGAGCCCAGAATTTCGGTCTGTGGTGTCGGAAAACCAGCGACTCCAGCCGTTGAAGGACCGCCTCGGCTATGAGTCCCGACATCGGCGAACCCATTGGCGTTCCCTTCACCTGCTCGTAGATTGTTCCGTCGAACGTAAAGTACGTCTTGAGACAGAACTTCAGGAGCTGGATGATTTGGGCGTGTTCGAGGCGATTCTCCGTTTTGTCGTACTTCTCTCGTAGGAGTAGTTCGATTGTCTCGACTGCCAGGTCTTGCGGGATAGAAGTAAAAAGGGATGTGACATCAAAGGAAACCATGATATCGCTTGGCATGAGACTTACTCCTTTAAGTTTCTCCAAGAATTGCGTTGACGAGCTGACTGTGGTGTTCGAATCGGAGGTCAGAAATTTGAGACGTTGGAACAGCCAATTTGCCAGTCCGTAGGTTGGAGTGCCCTTTAGTGATACAATAGGCCGGAGAGGAGCGCCCTCTTTGTGCACTTTTGGGAGACCGTAGAATCGGGCTAGGGCCGTTTCTTGTGCTCTCGCCATGCGTCGGTCGATTGGCGATATTGCACCTGAGTTCTCCATTGCCAACAGCGTCGCGTTAATCTCGCGTGTCAGCGTTTTCATGGGGTTGGATTCGCATGGACATATGACTGACGATCCTCCAACAAGCTTTTGGCTTTTTGATTGTAGTCTGTCCTATCCAATACGACCGTTGAAAGCCGCTTGTCCGCAGGCACGATAACGAGGTCGTTATCGGCCCTGAGTTCCTCAAGTGCATCGCGCTCGACCTTGGAAAGCACATCGCGCGGCCTATGAGCCATGAGGAGGGAGGACACTTGGTGTCTTATGAGGTTCTTTGTTTCGTCTGTCGCTCCCGTCTGGTTGAGAATTGATTCCACTGCTGCGATCATGTTGGCAGGTTTGGCATCGGCTGTGTTGAATGAGGCCTCATGCCGTAAAACTTGCATTTGTTCCTCCGTCAGCTCCTTTGACGACAAGTTGTGCACCAGTTTGTCGTTCTTGGATGACAGTGGAGCAGGCAGCTTACGAAATTTGCTCTCTAGGGCTGCTTCTCGCGTTGCTTTATGTTCGCTGGTTCGTTCGGCCAGCCTCTGATGAAGCAGTTTTATGCCGTCCTCGCCCATGAACTCGCAGCACCTTGCTTTCTCTTGGTCAATCCTCTGACGGTATTTGCGAATCCGTGAATGACAGTCTTGAAGGAGCACTCGGATCATTCGTCGGCCGTGCTGAAGTACTGCGCGTCTCGCCAGTTCTGTGTTGACCGGAGGTTTTTATGAAACGCACTTCGGCAGCACATTGTTGTCGAGACACCTGTGCAGAAATCTAATCTGCGCATATGTTGACGACGCTCGAAGGGCAAAGGTTTCCCACCGTCGAGCCGATCGGAGCGCTTCGTGCCCAAAAAGATTGCTGATAGAAGCGAACAGGCTGTCTCTCTCACATTCGCCCTCTAGAGTGCTACCAGCACCCCAGCGAGAAATACTAGCAGAATAGCCTTGCCAGCAAAGACAAAGCGGACCGGAATGCCAGTTTCTGGCTGCGTAGCCGTAATCAGACAGCTAAGCCCAACCTCGGGGTGTGCAGTCCCAGTGGCTCGAAATCCGGAGTTGTTAGTTAGAAGTCCAACGCTTTTAACCGCTAAGCTACCCGCCCGTTGGCCTGCCGGTCGCGGTTTGCCGGTCGGTAATGCTGTCCTGGCAGCAATACGTGTCGTTCTGTGTCTGCTTGCGGGACTCGAGATAGGACTCCAAGGCACAAGGCGCTCAGTTTGTGATGTGATATCTCATAGAATAACAATAAACTTCTGAAATGCGTCTTCGACTCGATGAGATTTCATAAGTTGGGTTAGAATACTAATCACCGTACAGCATACTCCCAAAGTATTTTATTCAGGTCAGAATACCGGCTATTGAATGCATTTTTTGAGCGTCTGCAAATGGAAAACTGTAAATAATGGCCACTTAATCATTATCCATTTTCAATATTGATTTTGGATGCTCTTATTAATTCAAATATACTTCATGGAAAACATGCATAAAAATGTTTATTCTTTTACAAATCAGATAAAAAACTACGTCATCTTTAAATTCGGCGCTTGAACTAAGTTTATATTTACGTTTTCAAAAACGTTCTCCTTTTTGAATAATTTTGAGCCCGACCTGGCTTTACACTTGCATTCAGGGTTTCCAATATACTAATTATGTATTTTCCGTGTATTGTCAATCATACATCTTTACACTCTACTATGAGGAGACTTCATAGGTCCCATAAGATTTAACAGCGAATTTCAACCGTATTTAAGCAGTATTAATCTCTGCAGGGACACGATGTTTTTTAAACGGTCATTTCGTCGTCCTAAAAATCTTATAGTTAGAAGCTTTTTCACAACCAATTTATGATCTACCTTCAAGTACAAATTTTACCGACGACGTAGTTTACATTTATATAGGCAAAAGGATGAATATATATGAATATGCTTTTTGTGGAATATATTTTGTGTAAAAGGGGCATCTAACATCAATGAGAATAATACATATTACTTAATTTGTCATTTTTTCAGAGTGCACGTTCCGCGGACGGTCAGAAAGAAGGTCATTCAAAGGCCGGTATTCTAAAGTGAGTGGAATTTATTTGGAGTATCCTGCACGGTAATTAGTATTATAACCCTAGTTAAGTAATCGCATCAAGCCGAAAACGTATTTCAAAATATAGGCTAACACTTCATGAGTCAGAACACCTACTGTAAGTAGCCTCCATCTCTTTCAATGATTTCTGTTACGCTTATAAACTTAAATATATTTCATGGAATATAAAACTGTTCCTTTTTACTCATTGGGAAATAAATTACTCCTCAAAATTTTATTCTTGAGGCAACTTAATCGTGGGGTTTTAAAAAACTTTCTAGTTATGTGATTTTGCAGACCGTGAAATGCCCGTTCATCAGGCGACGGTTCATTGCAAATTCTTTTTATTTTGGACTATTGCTTTTTGATTATGTTCTTTTTATCGAGCTCACTTTCGTTGCCAAATTGCCGTATAAGATAAACCCTTTCGCGGAAAGTTAACTATTTTCGATGTTTTCCTGCATTCGGCCTGCTCGCCGTTCTGCGTTTTGCCATACGCACAAAACCCGCCCTTATCATAATTACCGTATTACGCAGGTCGCAGACTACCTCAGATTAATGGAGGTTCTACACCCTACCGTTGCCACATCATGTCTCTACACTTGCACATGTCAATTGGCTAGCATGTGCTTTCGGTAATTCCTCATCAGGCCTGTACAATTACGAGCGAAATCATAAGACAGTCGGCGGAAATTTAATTATTTTCGGTGTTTTATTGCATTCTGCCTGCTCGACGTCTTGCGCTTTGCCATAGCATACAACCCGCCCCTATCATAATTTCCTTATGACACTTGCCGCAGACTACCTCAAGTTAATTGAGGTCCTACATCCTACCATTGTCACATCCTGTCTCTACACTTACTAATGTTGCTCGTTAAATTTACAACACGGCTTAAACCCACCTCAAGCCTTTACGAACCTCATGTAATATAATCTGAATAACGTATCATTTTCCTTGTCAGAAAAATAGCAGCCTCTTTTTTGGGGGGTCGTACACACTATCGTTACTCTTTTTCATTAATATAATATGTTCTTTCGTTTTTTCCAAATTTCTGACAGTGGGATTTCCGCCTGGTTTTCAAATCAGCCTGGTTCTTTTCTAAAAATCACGAAAACCTAATATTTTAAGTCGAAAAATTGGAGCACTTTAGAGGATCAGTCTTTGCTGACGACAGAAAACGATGCGAACATTTCAGTAAACTTTTTAAAACCCTTATACATTTCAGTTCCATGTTAATCGACTTTCGGCAGAGCATTCCATTTATAGCATTTGCTGATCGCAGGAAGTCTTCTTATAATTCCCAAAATGTGTCTGTTCCTTTCGCATAGAAGGAAGACTTCTAAGCTAATGTATTTATCGGTGTGACTGTTCGTGTAGTTCCTCAAAATATTATCGCTCTCTATTGGATGTCTCATCCTCATTGCGTGTCGCTCGTGAATATGAATAATAAAATGATTAGAATAAGGACATGGATAATTATTTTAAATAGGCAATATAGTTTCCAGCCGCGGAACGCAAATCTGTCGCGCTGAAGAAACCGCACTCACTTATCGCATCCGTTGAACAGACCTGTAAAAAGCCAGCTCTGAAATCATCTTACAAGCCCAACAGTCCGGAAAAAGAATATCCCAAAATTTCACACTTTCCAGGGAAGAGCGATTATCTTTGTATAAAAACGTTTCGTCAAATTGAGTGTTTGTACGTGCAAGCTGAAGGCATTTTACTTTCATTTTGCCTTTAGGAGGAAGTATCTGATATATTGGAAACGCTGTTGTAGCGAGATTGCCGCCTAGATAGGTGACAAATGCCGTTTGAATAACACACATAGGGTTATCCTTACATGATTAAAAAGTACGAGCTGAAATTCCTCTCTTTAGGCAAAACGTCTATTCTGTTGGGGAAAGGGGAGGGCCATACAGAAATGCTGACGGTTTTGAAGACTCCATAGGTGTTGCGGTTTCAAAGACTGCCCGAGGATATAACGTGCAACTGTTCACAACTGGGCGAGATCCAATTAAACAGGAATTAAGCGGACAGACTGCGTGTATTAAAACCTCAGATAGTGATCCTCGGACGCATAGACTGTGTACGGAAGTGTTTCGTTTCAGTCTATGTGGTCATATTGGTTTGTTTTGCTGGTTTGCGTACTTACTTTTCGCCCTGCTTGCAATCTGTTCAACGACAATACCAAAACTCTCTAGCCGGTTCGCTGTTTAAATCAAACCGCTATTAGAATGTTTGCAAACATATCCGCTTTCGTTTTATCCTACCGAGGAGGACGTTAACATAAATACCTCATTCTGCTTCTATTTGCCCGTGCAAATTATATGACATTACTTGCATGACCAATGACGCAACTGTAGTTGCCGTCCAATTATATTTTTAGAATTCCTCAAGCATAGATTTCACGTATTTTTCAACTCATAAATTTTAGACCCACCAATCGCTTTGGTAATTTTTGCCAAAGAAAATAAGCAGTATTTGGTTGAGACCTTTGAAGGCAAAGCCAGTCTATTTTTGCAACACGTTCGGTAACCGTTTTAGTAAATACACACTTGGAGAACAGTTTTTATGCTTCTGGATAAGGATGAAACAGGCGCAGCAATATTGTCTCCAACAAAATGGCATGCATTTTGGAGAATCTCTAAGAAGCCTGCAATGATTTGCTCATCTTGAGGAAAGTACTGTCGAAAAATGGTTTACATGACAAATCATTTAACATATGCCTCTGATTAGGCTGGAAAATGTTTTAGAAAATTTACTTTTCATGTTTCTTCGCCTGGCTTACGGACGATTAAGTGAGGAAAATTACCTTGGGACATCAATTCGGCTTCTATCAGCATAAAAAGCGTTCACTTGCCTTTGTTTCGTGGCGTCTTCTCACAATTGTCGTGATCTTTATCGAATGGAATGTTTAAAAGACCACGATTGGCTGTTGTGGTACCATTTTCATTTGCTGCAGTTAGAGATTAACGCTTCAGATTTGGGACCGTTCCAGGAAAAAAGCTGCAAGTGCGGTTATAAAAATAGCACATTGATAACAACCCTTTGTTAAACGACACTGCTCAAACGTTATCCATTTCATGACAATATTTCCCTGTGAACCAGAAGTTGTCAGACTGGCAGCGCAATTCAAAGTATTAAAACTTTTATTTTGGGCGTGGTTTTGGAAAGATAGCGTCTGCCGTCACATGATAGAAATGATTAATTACAAAGCCCACTGAACAACGGGGAAAAGTGAATTTCTAGTGCTTTGTAAATAAACAGTTTGGAGGATTTGACTCAAGCGGAGTCTAGCAATCTAGATGTTTTTAATTAAACAGAGCTTGGTGCAGTAGACTACAGTAGGTGGGCTCACGCATGAAATGACAACAAAAATTCCGAAATGCGTTTTCGTTTCGAAAATATTAATTAAGTAGCGTCTTGAAACTAGTCAGCCTGCAACACAATTCTATAATATTTCAGTTGCCTCAGGATGCCGGCTTTCAAATGTACTTCT